ACATGTTGAATTGATTTTATTTCTAAATACAGTTTGAACAAATCTTTTTGGACAAGCACTTTTGGGTCTCAGACAACCAAATTCTCTATGATAGTTGTCCGATGGACAAGTGGATTTCAAAATTTTTCTCTTACTCTGAAGAAGCAGTGCTCGTTTCACTCTGTTCTTCTGTTTCTGTTTTGACATCCATTGTTATTGCAGTTGACATGAGGGAAGCAGTGTCTGTTTCACTTTGTTCGCCACTCACACAAGGCTCATTTAGCATCATTGCTTCACTCTTTTCTTTGCTCTCTGAAGTTGAAGTGCTTGGTAGAGTGGTAAAGTCTGTCAACTATGCGCTCTCCGCTTTCATTGAGAAATTTTCTCTTGGCTGCCTCTTGTTCTTGCCGTTCAATCGCACTCTTCCTTCGGGCTTTCACCCGCTGACTCCACTCTTCAGTGGCCTCCGCATCTTTTTTCTTGTACTATTTCCTGGTTAAATGATGTGTTGGAACCCAATCTTCATTGAACCTGTCCCAGTTTGATGCACGCCTGCCAGAAACGAAGTGACGACTGCAAACATGCTTGTTCTGCAAAACGTTCTTCGTTTTCAAGTGAGCACAATCTATCGAGGAAATTCCAAGATTTTACCTTTCTCGGGTTAACTCCTCAAACTCTTCGCCTTGATTACTGACAATTGCAGGTACAGAATAAAAACAAATGCCATCTCAACCACTTTTGTTTCCACAATTGCCAATAATACAAAGAACCATGATGCTTTCACGCATTGATGCTCTCTCACGCTACTTTTTGTTTACACCTGAGGGACACAATCATGGTGGATAGCAACGGTTGTCAAGTTAGGGGTCACGTGGGTGAAAACCAAGAATATGGGCTGGAGCAAAGCTATGATTCAGACCAATGGTTTTCCTAAATTGTAATTGTGATCAGTGAGTTTAATTAAGCATAACATAAAGAGAAATGGCAAATGGAAAAGGGAAAAATGAGCTCTCATTTTACTCGCCTTTGCAATAACTTTTAATTCAATCTAGTACACAGTGATTTTTGCCCGTTGATGTTTGACGCGACTCACTTCATACCTGTGAACTCGCACATCCTAATAGTCAGCACCGTTCTCTAACAAAATCAGTATTAGGGAGGATGTTATTAACTACCTGCATTAATTTGATTTAAAGTATTTTTCAGGAAAAAAGTTTTGAACCCACATGTATAAAAGTTTGCAGGTATTATAGTTTGAAACATTAACGCTATCTGGGTAATTTGACCGAATAAAGACATGCATTAAACTTGCTCAAAGTATGGTCAAATCACTTCACGAAAAGCCTGTTTTGTTTCATTGTACAACAAAATGAGATTGTTGCATTTATGGATAACCTCTTAAGGGATGAAAATGTCAAAGGAAACATCCCAGCCCTTCGATACTTTCACGGAACGAGTGATTACTGACAAATGCTATGCCACGTTCGCTGACTTTTGCCGAGAAGCCACGTTTTATTTTTTAAACTTTGTAAACCCAGTTTATCGTAATTTATTTCTACTTTATTTCAAAACTAATGTATATTTCACTGTTGGTCATTGCTTTCATTGTATTTCATGGCTCCTAAAGGAACGTTTGTTTCTGTTTCTTGGCTGGTGTCACTGGATTCATTTCAGTCTCTTAGACGGACTTCTTTGTGTCGCACATGATCTGGATATGCAGGGGCAACTTCCTGTGTCAATGGGCTGAAGCTTCAGGCCATGATGCCATCCCTCTAAGTCGTTATTACGGTGGCTTTCCCAGAGGCGCTCAAACATGAAGATTGTCAGTTCTCAAATTTAGCACAAGTTCAAATGAAGAGAAACAACAATTATTGCATTAGTAGGTTAAATTAAATCCCAAAGGTAATGTTTCTTGAAATGATCAATGCAACACGGTAGAGCGATGCACAAAGTTTTCTGGAACACTTGTACTTGTGTCCAAGCAAGGGGAGAGTTTGCCATCTCATATTTCCATCATTACATGAGTTACATCAGACTTTTACTAAAGGCAAAATGATCTAACAAATATTAAGGAGCGAATATTGACTGAAAACCGCACAAATACTCTATCAAACTAATTATTTTTATTTCTTTCCAAATTAAAAAAAATAAAGCCTTCTCTTACCAGCAAAAAATACATCAAAAATTTGATAACAAACCTCAAACACACCATCTTGTATCCCAGAAGTCAAATCGGCTAGTTCAGCTCATTTCTGCCGACCTCAGTACTGCATTTTCCAAAAGTCCCGAAAGTTTGGATGTGGCAGATTTTTTTTCTCGATTCACACACAAACATCACTATCTCGATCTCTGTTTTGCAAAAATTATGTCTATCAACAATAAAATCAAGGTTCTCTGGAAAACTAGCTGAGTGGAGGGACAAACCTCACTTTCCAAAGTGGAGAGACTTCCAGCTTCTTGAAGGGGAATCGGAAGGTTCATTACTTCTGCTGAAACTTGGAGATCCAGCCAAGATAAAATTTGGTTCTCGCTGGTACAATGTGGAGGTCACAGAAAGCTGGTCGCCAAAATCAAGGAAAGGTATGTGTCGCTAGATTGGAGGAATTTAAGGGTAATTTCACAAGTTTGTTTTTGATCGTTTATCTGTTTGTTCTTTCTTCTTCAGGGACTGCAAAAAAGAACTGTTGTCAAGCTGAGTCAACCACTACCAGCTCCACACAAGCAGAAGGGCTCGAAGAAGACCCGTACTCGACGTTGCAAGCTAAACAGCGGAAATGTGAGGTGCAATGGAAAGCCAGCAAACTGCGAAGAAAAGTAAATTATAGGAACTGGCTGTCTGCCAAAGTGTAGGAATACTGAGCAAGACCAGACCCAGCGAAGTTATTTGTACTGTGATCGAAAAGGCTGTAGACCAGTCAGACCAGACCGACCAATTAAGGGACCGATCATTATTTATCGCCTGGGAGCGGGCGGAGGATTTTGGATCACATGGTTTTCTGAGAAACAGAAGGGGGATCAGGGGTAATTGACAGGCACAAAGGGGGGGGACCAGAATAAAAAATGGATTTTCTGGTGGCGGTTGGATCTCCATGAATATTTAACATATAAAACCATGTCAAATGATCGCCTCCTTTTTACGAAAATATGCTATTTAATTACATTATAAAATAATCAATTGTTGTGCATGTAGTATCAG